TGTGACATTTCCATATAATGTGCATTGATGGTGTCCACCTTCCCTAATCCCCTCTTCTCATTCCCCTCCCCACCTCCCCATTCCACTCCCTTTCCCAACAGGTTCCCCCTTCTTCCTGCCATCCCTCCCCCAAAGCCATTTGAGAAAAAGCATGCCATAAGCGTCACTCTGAGACTGGCTTATTTTACTTCATGTGAAAGGCTCCCTTCACGCAAAGGTTGTACTGCTCCTCCTTATGGCTGTGTATATACACCATATTTTCTTTATCCATCTGTGTCACAGGTGCCTAGGTTGAATCTGTAACTTGGCTGTTGTGGTCAGGGTCGTGGTGTCCAGGTAGCTTTTGTATGATGACTTTGATTCTTTCTGGAACAGACCCAGAATAGGTAGAGCCAGTCCTATTTTAAGCTTTCTGAGGAATTTCCACATGGTTTTCCACAGTGGTGGCACTAAGCTACACTCCTGCCGTCAGTGTGTGAATGTTCCTCTCCTCTGCACCTGCACTAGCATTTACTGTTTTTGTTTTCTTGCTAACAGCCATCCTGACTGGGGTGGCGTGGAATCTTAGTGTAGTTTTGCTGTGCATTTCTTGCTGACTAAAGAAGACGAACATTATTTCACACATTTATTGGCCATTTGTCTATTCAGCTCATTTGTTCATTTACTGAGTAGATAAACTTTTTTTGTCTTATGGTTTTGGAGTTCTTTATGCACTCTAGATATTAATCCTCTATCAGATGAATAGCTGGCAAAGATTTTCTCTTACTCTGTAGGTTGAAAATACAAGTGTTTTGTTTTTTTAATACTGGGGATTGAATGTAGGGAGCAACGAGCTACATCCTTAAATCATTTTTAAATTTTAATTTTGAGACAAGCTCTGCTAGGCTGCCCAGGCTGGCTTTGAACTTGGGATCCCCGGTCTCAGCATCCCAAGTAGCTGTTATTATACGTATGCGTCATCATGTCTGGCCAAGAGGAAGATTTCAAATGCTGACTTTTTTTACTGCTATGTCACTAAATTTATGCTCTCGTTTGTGGTTTGTTTGTTTGTTGTTATTGTTGTTGGATTTTATGGCGGTAGTAGGAATCAATCCAGGGCCCGGCCCTGCCCCTGCCTGCCCACTGGGTCAGGAGAAGCAAAACCCTGGTGAGAGGGCTGCAAAAGGGCCATGCGCGGGAGAAGACTAGAAATGCACGCTCCCCAGAGACACTGATGCAACAGAGGAAGGGATTCTGCGGAGTGACTTCGTAGGGTCAGGAACAAACACTAGGCACAATTTGATTTGATTATGAAATAATCACATATGGCATAATTGAGAGATAATAAAACCTTGGATAAATTTGGAAACATTTTTAAACGATGTCTTCTACTGCTTTTTTTTTTTTTCTTTTTCCATAGCTGAGGAGGGCAATTCCTAAAAATTGGGGAAGACTTTTCTTCCAGGTTTCCTCTGCTTTCCTAGCACTCTCACATCTTCAGGCTGCTGGCGTGGCTAAGGGCCCTGAAGTAGTGCACAGTGTCTCCTGGGCCACTGGCAGTGGGCAGAGTGGGCCTGGTATCCCGCAGGGGCACAGCATAGAGCTCGTGTCTGGGACACCCAGTTCCTGCCCCAGCTCAAATGCTTTTCTGCCTCTGTAGGGCCTGGGCAGGGCATGGATGGCCCTGCACAGTCTGGAAGGCTGGTGAGGTTTGTTTTGGAGACAGGGTCTCATTACATATCTCAGAGCTGGCCTTGAACTCACTTTGTAGCCCAGGCTTGCCTTGAACTTGAGGTGATCTTTTTACCTTAACCTTCTGAGTGCTGGCATTACAGGTGTGCATGGCTACACTGGTGAGCTCTGAAAAACTCAGACAAAACAAAGGTCTTGGGCCTCCCAAAGCCTGATCACTCTGAAAGTCATACACACTTTTCTGATCTTTAGACAAAGCCTCGGGATTTTACATCCTGACTGGGAACTCAGGACAGTCCAAGGCCAGGAGAGGCATAATCATGATTACCAGCAAATGTCACAGTCAGTGGCTCTTTATGCCCCTGGCCCCACTGCCTCAGCATCACCTTGGAATGCAGCAGACACACACTGCCAAGCCTCACCACACTGGATGAACTGGAGCTGGGGCAGGCCCCACGCTCTGAGCCACCCATGACACTGCCACAGGACGCTCGCTCACAGGCTGCTCCCCAGGACTGCTCTCCACCTCGCTCACTCCTCACCTGGGCCACTGAGGCCCCAGGAGCTGCCACCTGACCCTACTGCTCTGCCCAAAGCCATGCATCCCACAACCACAGCCCCTTCCTCAGGGTCTCTGACACTCTTACTTGGTTCCAGAGTGACTCACTATGAAACAAACAAAAAAAACCTTCTCCCCTATTCATGCAGTCAGTGCAACTGTCTGAGGAGGGGGCGGGAGGAGGCAGGGGTCTGCTGCAGAAGGCAATGGGACAAGTGCTACCGAAATAACACAGACCCAATGTGGTGCTAAAATGTACAAACAGACAAACTCCCAAAACTGACCCTTGGCTCAGCATGGCCAAACCAGAGAAGCAAAGGGCCCAAAGCGAGGTCCGGTTCATGCTCAGGGCTGCCCCGGGGATCAGGACAGTTTCCATCATTCCTTGTTCCCTCAGCAGTTGCGCTCCTTGCCCTTGCTCTTCCTCACAGCACTCGCCATATAACTCACATTGTGACACAGTCTATGCTGACTCTCATGTCTTTCTCTTCGAAGGGCAACTCCTGTCTAGTATCACTGTTGGATCCCGTCTCGAGATTCAGCTGGGGATCAACCTGCCGGACAGCACTTCTCAATCTGCACTTGTCCAGTGGGCAGAGGTGGCACCCTGGCCAAACCCCAGCCTCCTGGATGCTCTGAAGCAGCATGCAAGAGGAGGTGTACCTCCTCCACCACCCTGCTCTGCAAGGGAGCCCCTGAGGTTCACCCAGCCAGGGGGCCTGTTACTGCTGCCATCAACAGTGGGAAATGTCATTACCCACTGTCAGGGCTGTTTATTAGCCTACAACATCACGGTCTTGGCCAGCCAGAGAGAAGGATTTTTTTTTTTTTTTTTTTGGCTGGCTCAGGCTGCCTTAAGGGCAGGTCTGGAAAGGCATGGGGAGCTGGGGATCAAACTGTGGTCTCACTTAAACAACTGAGTTAACCCGCAAGCCACCTCGGCCAGCCAGAGAGGTGGGGAACAGCAGCACCTGGATTAGGGAACTGAGGCACTGTGAGTTTAGTGAGGTCCACAGGTACAATGTCAGGGTTAGGGAATGGCTGTGGGCCAGTGCTGTGACCGGGGACGGGGATAGCAAGGAACAGCCCCTCATGGCCCAGCTGCCCAGTCTCCCCTGGCTATGGCCTCTTGACGCACCCTGGGTTCAGGGCCACCTTCGTCTCTGGCCTCCTGGGCCTACTTTCTCCTTGTTGCAAATAAGACTTGAGGGCCCTGGTTGTTTCCCAGTACCTGCTGGTGCTACTCACCAGGCCCCGTAGTGCCCTTTGAGAGCATACAATCATCGTGTGGGACTCCTGGCCTTACACGCTGGCCCAAGAGCTTGCTTAGGAGCACAGAAGTTCAGTTCCTGCCATTATTGGAAAGCCAGGACTTTGTTTCTGTAAGGAGGAATCTCTACCTTTTCTCTCTAGCTAGCCAGGCTGTGGCCCAGATGCTGAGGAGCAGGTGGATGATCTTGCAACTTAAGCTTCTGCTGGTCATGGTACTATCCTGACCTGGATTTCAACAAGTTTGGGCCCACGCCTATTGCCAGAGCAGGGCAGCAGGCACTCTGGGGAAGCGGTGATCTGACCAGTGATGGTACCCTGGGCTACTTCTCAGGGATACAGCTTAGAGTGTGCTGAGTTCTCAGGGCACCTTGACCCCACCCATTATATCAGGCACAGGGCACGGCTACCTACCTAGGTCGGCATCTGCGCTCTTCTTCATGTCCTTCTGCAGCCGCTTAGTCTGTTCTTCTAGCCTGCAAAGCACAGGCAACCTGAGCACCAGCCCTACTGCACTTAGCCCTTCTCCCTGGGGGCCCTATAGGGTGAGTGCTGGCTGCTACGCAGGCTGCCTACCCACTCCCCACCCAGGAGGGAAGGGGGTGACCCTCTCTCTGCGGATGCTTCCCATGGCTTGCCAGAGGGCAAGTGCTTGAAGTTGACCTCCTTCCTACAGCTGTGTATGTGGCAGAATGCGCAGTCTGGCGATCCGAGCTCCCTGGGCTCCCAGTGCTGTGCTACCAGCAGCTGAGCAGCTCTCAGCCAGGCCGTGCAGGCTCGAGAAATGGCAGGCACGGGGGCTTGTGTGGACTCCCTGTTTCTCCCTCCTCCCCAGGGTTTGACACTCACTGCTGGAGTTTTCCATACTCTCTTTCAAAGTCTCTCTCCACCTGTAACGAGAGAGATAACTCAATCAACAGAGAAATGACAACAGGGTGGAAAAAATCTCTCCACGCCCTCCCTGCAGCCTGCAGGGAGCCTGCGGCAGATCGTTAAGGACACAGTATCCCTGTGTTCCCAAATTAATGAAGTGTTTGATTTGGGGAGTTCTCCCCTCCTGGAAGGGCCAGCTGGGCAAGTCACAGCGGATTGTGGCTCAGTTCTGCCACTGCATGGAGTCAGGTACCAAGCTAGGTGCCCTCTCCTCATCTCAACTCTGGTGGGACTCAGGGAGCTGAGTGGTCCTGAAACCCAGCCTAGGAGGCAGCAGGGCACAGAGGAGCTGGTGGCCTGGGCTTTAGGGTTGGCTCTCTGTGTAACAGTGGGGGACTCCAGCAGGTCCCCTGCCGTCTCAGCCTCAGTTTCCTCCCTGCCTGGGTGGGCAAGGGGCAGACCTGAAAGGTCATATATGTGACTAGAGGTGGGAGATACATTTTGGAGCACAGAAGCCTCGCCTGGGCCCTTCCAAGCCTGCTGTTCTCTTGGGTGTTAGTCTAGCACAGCTCTCTCCAGTGGGGCATGGAGAGGGCAGTTTTCAAAGGATTCCTCTGAATGGGCAGAGACAGAGGACAAATAAATTCTGATAGTAGCTGTGGAATCTGAAAAATTTCTCAGACTTCCTTCTCTGGTAAAATGGGTTCATTTCCCTTAGTCATTCCCCACGATACCATTAGCCTCAGAGGTTTGCTTTCAGACCTCACTGGGCAATATACGTGGAACACACAGTCAGGCGGTCGCTGGCCTGGTTTGCTAAGCACAAAGCCCTGTGCGTGCCCCAGGACAAGACTAAAGTGCTCTTCTCCCTCAGGAAGGTGGCTGCTGGGCAGTGTCTTCACCTATGAAGGTCTTTATTTATGAAAGGATGAAATAAAAGCTAAGTGTATCTTGGCCAGAGTCAAACTCTCTCTGAGGCCCAGAGTGCCCGCCGAGGTGCTGCACCCTCTGGCTCATGTCACCTCTTGTGCAATGTGCTTAGCGTGCTCCTGGGTGGGATGCCAGAGAACACCTGGTCTCCTTCACAGGGACTGCTTGGACTTGCACAGTGCAGGACTCAGGGTTCCAACTTGGGGGTGCCTGGGCAATGAGGAACAAGAGGGCTCATGCTGAAAGCAGGCAGTGGGCTTCGGCAGGGTGGGTGGCCGATCCTCCACTCGAGGCTGCTCAAGCTGCTGCTACCTCACAGCATTTTGTTGCCCCACTTCCAGGAGCTTACTGGTCCCATCTCTCTGCAAAGGCAAAAGAGCCACTGGAGACAGCAATGGAATTCCAGCCCCTCAGAATATGGGGAAGGGAATAAAAGGACACACTGAAGTCACATTCCAAGGTATGGCTTCTGAGGGGAAGGAGCCAAGTGGAAGACATCTGAACATCTTTGAATGCTTGATGCCTTTGCCAAAAAGGCAGTTGGAGCCCAGTCAACAACGCAAGTGCAAACATATGCGAACAGACCGTCAGGGAGCCAGGCTGGCCTGCGCCAGGCAAGCCAGGTAGCCCTGGGAGGACCAAGCTATAGACGCCACCCTCGGCCACTCCTTGCATTCTCTGGGCTCAGTGTGCAAGGGAAGGTCACAGCGTGAAAGGGCACTGTTCAGTGAATGACTAGGTTGAGTGTCCCCAAATTTAAACTCACAGTGAAGTGCAAAAGGAGGCCACAGGCAGGGCCAGAGCGCTAATGCCAGGGCAAAGGTGCATCCTACCACAGCTCAGGCAGAGGGTGTATTCTGAGCCCCTCTACAAGGATACTGCCCAGGAGGCAACTGCGAGTGAGTGTACAGGCACAGGGCCTCAGCTGGCGCTGGGGCTCTGAGGAGCTTGACTCTGGCCAAGAAATGCCTAGTTTTATTTCATCCTCTTAGTCTGCCTAAGGGATCGGAGCAGCAGAGGGTTCCTCTGGTTGGCACGTGAAACTTTTCTCCCTGCAGAGGCTTAGTGTAGTCACTCTGGGGTTAGTGTGGTCACTAGGGACTTCTAAGGGTGCCCACCCAGTGAAGAACATTGGCTGTGCCTTCCTTTGTACACCAGACCCGCAGGCCTCTCCATGGAGGGTCACAGCAAGCAAAGTTTTAGAGTTACTGACTCTCATGGCTTAGGCAGGCAGGCAGGCAGGCGGGCGGAGTCTGGCCACCTTAGGGAGCCACTGGGATCTCTGAGGAAGGCTAGGACGAGGAGGCGGGGTGTGCTCCTGCCTCAGTGCTCACGGTCAGCGCCTGCGGAGAACATGCCATTCCCTCCTGCCAAAGCCTTCACAATGGCGAGGGTACCGTAATAACCTGGGCACAGGAGAGCAGGGAGAGCAAAGACACAATGCTTCCTTTGTGGCTGACAGCTGGGTGCCTTGAGCCAAAAGCCTCCTGAAACTCCCTGAAGATAACATGAGCATTTCTTCCCATGACAGGGGCACCATGACTTCCAGTAACCCGGGCAGTCACACAGGCTACCCTCCCTGAGCACCTGGGCAAGAACATCAGAGTGCGTCAGCACCAGCCACCGCGGCTGCCAGAGATGCCGACAACTGTGCAGCCTGGGCCTGCTCTGCGGGCCACAGGGGCGGGGGAACATGCGGTCCAAGAGGCAGGGTCTTGCTCCACCGACCTCAGTGCCCTGGGGAGTAGAGGCAAAGGGGCCGAGTAAGCACACGGCTCTAACTCAGGCTGTGACTTGGCTTTAGCTCTCTGAGGGAGCTCAAAGGCCTACTGCTGTGGGAATGGAGCTGTGTGGATGGGCCGAGTGCTCCTTCAACTGGTCTCCTGTGATGTAGCAGGCACCACAAAGGGCTTCCTGCAGGTCAGACACTGGGCTAAGCACCTACTAAGCATCACCTGATGTGAGACTCATCCTTCAACTGGTTTCCTGTGATGTAGTGGGCACCACAAAGGGTTTCCTGCAGGTCAGACATGGGGCTAAGCACCTACTAAGCGTCACCTGATGTGAGACTCATGCAATATCCACAACACGGGTACAATGAGCACCATTTTACACATGAGAAAACTAAGGTTCAGAGAAGCTAAGGAATAGCAGACTTTCTGTACATGACAAAGGTCATTTTGATGAAGACTGGGGGCTGGAAGGGTTTTTCATCTGTCTGCTCTTGGTAGCAAATGATGGGCAAAAGAAGCTTCTGAAAACCACTTCTCTTTGGGATCTGCCATAAACTCTAGAGGCTCAAAGCCACACCTTCTCACTTCCTGCCACCACTGGGGCCCGGCATTTGCACGCCCAGATTCTCTGGGCTGCAGCCGAGAGCTTCCACAGATGGTCAGCCCTGCTGGAGGCGACGTGCCTTTGCATGAAGCAGGGGAGGAAGGACTCTTTTAACTCATGCCCAGTTCCTTTTAAGAAACCTCACTTTGGATTTCCCAAAAATGGAGGCACTGGGCAGGAGTATGCAACCTTTCTGCCACGCCAAAGCAGTGTCTTCCCTGGAGTTTTGGAAGCTGAACTGGGGAGCGAGAAGTAGACTGTGAGGGCCTGGATGGTAAAGACAAGGCCTCAGCTTCCTGGAGTCATCACAAGAGAAGGTGCTCATGTTAAGAGCAATGATCAGGACTGGGGCCAGGGAGATGGCTCAGTAGAATAAGCGCTTGCCTGGCAAGTGCAAGAGCTTGAGTTCAATCCCTGGTTCTGAAAAAAAAAAAAAAAAAAAGAACAAGGATCACATTCAGATCCATCCAAGAACACCCAAATCCTGGAGATCTTCATAGACAGGTAGCCTGAAGGAAGGGAGAGAGTGCTCAGACCCGAGTCCTCATTCCAGCTCTGTCAATAGAGGGATTTCAAACCTTAAAGTCTCAACCACTCTATGGGCCTTACTTTACTCTGAGGAAAAAATCAGGAGGTTGGGCCACAAGAGTTCTGAGGGTTTACATTCTAACCTAGGTTCCATGGTTTCTCCCTCTTCCATTTGGAAGCTAGGCGGGGACTAAATTCTAGAGCTCCAAGGCGGATAGAAACTAGCATTCTGAGCAGGCTGTACCATGGAAGAGAACGCTTTTGATGGTACAGATGAAGGGACCTGGGTCTCCAGAGGAAAATGCCTGGGCTTTCATGTAGCTCAGATGAGCAGAAGTGAAGCTATGGGCCAAGTGTCTAGTCAGGGTCCATAGTCTGGGAGTCCTCTTAGGAAAAGGACTGCTCAGATGCAGAACCTTGTAAACCACCTCTTCTACCCAAAGATGGACAAGAGCCTGAAACACCCCAGACCAGGAGGCCCCCACAAGCCCCATCTTTGAGAGGTTTTAGATCTACATGCCTGGGAACAAGGCCCAGGTTGCTGTTTTCCCAGCCCTAAGAGTGCTGAGTCAAAGCTCTGGTTCTATACAGATGCCATGTGAGGCAGAAGTGAGTCTCAGAGTGAAAGAATCGGGTTACTCACTGTTTTGGGAACAATCTGTTTCTTGGGCTGCCCAATCTTGAAAGGAATCCTATGAGAGACCAAGAGGGATACTGTGAGGAAAGGGGAAGGAGGGGACCCAAAGAAGAAATGCAGTGGGGGCCTGCACATCTGAGGAGATGGGGACTGGAAGGGCTGGCTACTTGGCTCTTGTACCCAAGTCCTGGAGGGCAAATGACCATGGGCACATTCCCATCATTAGTGTCCCATGCAGCTCTTAGGTCCCACCTCTTGCCCCAGAGCAGCTTGCCATGAATGCTCTGTGGTTCACTGAACAAGTAGGGAGTGGGAAAGAGACCCCCCCCACCACCACCATAAGCCTTGTGTGGAGCTGCAAGGGAGAAATTTCAGGCTTCCTGAATAGCTACCATTCTGAGACATCATTCCTTTAAAATCTTCAACCGAAATCACACATTATCCACACCAGGTGCTTTCCTGCCTCTCTGCAGGGGGACACAATGGATCTGCAGGGTGTCTGAGGAGGCCAGGGAGAGGTGAGTTCAGCACCAGCCCAGCCTCCACTTCCCAGAGCAGGCTGCCCTTGGCCACTAACTGCTGCACAGAAATTCACTTTCTTCCTCCGGAAAGTAAATGGAGTAAATCAGGTAATGTAGGCACTTTCGCCAGGCACTGAAAATCTGTTTCTACCATCCTGAGAGAACTAAGGCCAGGCTAGAAAGCCAACATACTGCATCCAGAAGTTACACAAATAGTAGTAGTAGTGCTCCCTTCTCCACTGCCCAGCCCCCCAGGAAGTGGAGCCCCCTCCCAACCTTCTCTTCACACCCTTCTCCTCCAGCCTGCTTCCACTCGGACCCAACTGACCAACATCACTGCTAAAACCAACAGTATAATTAACTACCGATAATAACCCCAGACAACAAGCTGGTTGAGGGGATGGGCCAGCCTGAGTCACAGTGGTTTAAATTTAATTTCTGGAGGACATCCTGTTTATTGTTAACCCAGTCCCATAATTTGGGAGCATTAACCCTTTGGGAGCTGACTGATTCACGTGGCTTCTGTAAACAAAATGTCTTGGGTTATGTAATTACCATGGGAGGAAAGGTAAGCTACAGAACTGAAAGAGGAGGAAAAAATTAAATTCCTACTTTCCCTTCTCTGACCAAAGAGGAAGGGCTAAGGGAGAGGTGAGAGCTTTCCTCAATTCCCCAATTCCTCTCCTCATAATCAGGGACTGGAGCTGATAGCTGGTGAGCCAAGGGCCCCCAAGGACCAGCAGGAGATGGTGCAAGTGAGGTCCTGGCTGCACTGCTGCAGAGTGCTCCAGTTCGGCAGAGAGCAAGCTGCAGTGTACAAACCTCTCACCAGGAAGCAGAAAACCTGATCTGTCTTAGTAGTTTTGTGATGTGAACTAATTGCATCTCTCTGGAGCCCAGCTTCTTCAACTATGAAACAAAGGAGTATAACAGAAGGTGCCTTCTGTTTTTCTGAGTGGAATCTCATGCCAAGAATGTGGGGAGTGGGCCACAGATGCTTAAGAACCTGAGTGGTCTGCATCATGACCCTGCCTTGGAGTCTGCTACTACACATACCAGGAATCAACAGTCGAACTTAGGTTGCCATTACTTCAAGTGCTGCAGCTCCTAATTCTTAATTTAGAATCATAATATTTTTAGAACTGCAAGTCACCATAGAAAAATTTTTTCCAGTTCAACCCTCTCATTTCAGAGAGAAGCGGAGGGGGAGCAGTTGAACGACTCGCCCAGGGTTGTAAGAACCAGGAATAAGGCACCAGGGCCTCTGACTTCTGGACATTTCCTCTCTGCCATTCAAGGGTCAATGCTTTTCCTACATGGACTTTTATGTATTTAACATTTTTATTAGTACAAGTTTGCAGCACATGATGACTACATTCATTGTGGGGAATCAGTATGCATAAATAACACATCTTGTTTCTTTCCCTCCCCTCCATTGTTTTTGTTTTCCCAGAATCAGATTTATTTATTTATAAGTCCTTATAAAGCTAATTATATGGACTAACAGACAGACAGGTCAACAAGCATCGAAGACACATACTACAATTTACTAAGTCAAGGTACACTTTTACATCGCCCATGCTGGATTACAATAAGTTTCTCTTTCACACATAGACTTTTTAATATATGTTTGATAAAGAGGTCTACTCTTAAGTACTACAAGAGCAAAAGAGGCTCAGTTTTCTAAGAGACAAAATGAAAGAAATCATGGTGAAGAACAGGAATAGTCTGGCACAAAGAGAGGCTATGTGTGCTATGCAGATTGAACTGAATCTCTGTATTTCCACTACAGCTACTGACCATCAGCTATAATTTGACTATACTATTCTGATTTTCCAACTCACCAGCTCAAAAGTTGTGCAACGGTTTGCTATTATATCGGTCTAAAAAAAATTCCCTTGCTCCCTCTTTCATATTGAACCCAGGGCCTTCACATTGAGTTATATCCCCAGCCTTTATTTTTTGAGACAGTGTCTCACTAAGTCACCCCAGGTTGGGCTTGAACTTCAATCCTCCTGCTGTAGTCTCTCAGAGTGCTGGGATTACAGGTGTGTCATCACTCCCAAATTCATAAACTTTTCATTAAGCTTTAGTCTATAGAGAAATTGTGAGGAAGTACAATTCCCATGACTCCTACATTTTTCCTTCTCATTAACATTTTAAATCAGTATAGTGCATTACTCATTATAAATCAATACCAATGTCAGATCTACATTCAGATTTGCTTAGCTTTCCCCAAAAGTTCTTTTTCAGTGCTGGGATCCCACCAGGTCATTGTGTTATAGTTAGTCTAGAAGTCCCCTTAGGGGCCTCTTGGTTGTGAAGGTTCTCAGACTTTGCTTGTTCAGTGATGCTGATAGTCCTAAGGAGTGCTGAGCAGACATTTTGTAGACCCTGTCCCCCGGGACTATTCTGTTCTCACTTTTTGAGGGTATGGGCTTTGGCAGGAAGAGCACAAAGCCCGGGAGACTCACCATGTTGCGGCAAGAACACACATTGTGGCCATGAGCTATGTGGAAGGGTCCTTGACCACCAGATCATGGTTGTCTACCAGGCCTCTCCACTAAAAAGCTACTCCCTGCCCTTTCTCCCTACTGTACTTTTGGAGAGAAAACCACAATGTAGTTAAGCCTTAGTCATTTATATCATTATGGACTCTAGGGTATGTATTTTATACTTGGGGATATAAACTGATGCTACTTTATTTTGATATTACAACTGTTATGGTTCTGGCCACTTATAACTGTTATGCCTCTGGCCTTTTCAGCTAACTTCTGAGTCCTGCTCACATACCCATGTTACTATGTGTTGTTCAGCACTTCACTACAAAATGCTCCACTTGTGTCCAGCCCTAGACCTGGTGGAGGAGCTTACACTCACTTTCAATGCACTGCTAAAGGGTCTCAACTTTCCGTTCAGTCTTCTTTCCCCTTTATTCAACACAGCTTCCTGGGGCCAGCCAGCCAGCTATCTGCTAATCCCCCAATTTAGACTCCTTACAATTTCTTCTCCCCAACTGGGACATTTTAGAGTGCTTGTCAGGGGGACAACTGTCCAGGAAAATGGAGACATGGATGTCTTGGTTTACTCCAAGATGTGCTCAACTTGACAAAGCCTTGCTTACCTTCTTCTAATACTTATCTGGCATTTAAAAATATCCCATCTTTTACAGTTTATCCCTTGAAAAAGTAAAATATGCTCATCTGAGAAAACTTAAATACAGAAAAGGGTAGAAGGAAAAGAAAAAAAATCAGTCATGATCTCATTATGTACAAGCTGACCAACATTAATTTTTTTCCTTTAACAAATTTTTATACTGAGCATGGTGGCGCTCACTCATAATGCCAGCGCTAGGGAGGCTAAGGCAGGAAGATCACTGTGAGTTCAAGACCTCAGGTACATAGTGTGTTCAATAACAGGCTGAGCCACACAGTGAGACTCTGTCTCAAAACAAACAAAATTTATTGATATGTGTTTCCAGCACAAATGACCAAAGTCATCACACGAGTTACTGCATGTAGGATTAATGTTTTGGAGGTTCTAACTGTATTTTTAAAATCTGCAGAAAGAAAAATAACTGAGGCAAACAGGTCAAATGCTAGCAGTGGTTAATTCTAGTTGGTGAGAATATGATTACTGGTTTCTTTTCACTTCTCATATTTTTTCAAATAAACAAACAAAAAACATGTCTTTTTCTTCAATACAAAAATAGTCCCTGATTAGTGTTAAAAACTTGGGAAGGAATGGGAAACCATAAAAGACAAAACATATTTAAAACCTCTCCAAGAAAAAATGAGCAGTAAGACCACCAATGTGGACACACTTCTATCTTTGATCCTTCTGCCTCAGCCTCCCGAGTACCTGAGCCTTCTAGCACGTGCTGCCTTGCCCAGCTAGGATCTTGAGTCTTATGAGTACAGACATAATACTAGTAATACAGGTATATATGAAAATGTGCCTAGTTCTATTTTTATAATTTAAATTACTGTCATTTCAACTTTTTCTTCTAAACAAAAAGATGAATCGCCAAATCATACAGCTAATCTTTGTGCACCAAGGGTGTGTCACAGGGCACAAGTTCTTGAAATCAGAACTGGTGGTCAAGCAGGCACCATGCTGCTGTACTAGATCCCTGGCTGATCACCAATTCTGTCTTTACAGGGTATAATAAAAAATACAGTGAATGCTATCACCAAGTGCATCTAACAGAAAAGAGGCCTGTTAAAACATTATGGTGTCCTCATCCATCTTCTGGCTGCCCTCAAAGTCAAAATAAGTAGGAAAGGTAAAAATTCAGAATCAGTTCTGGACAACAAGACTTCTACAACAGCAAAACTGAAACCAGTCATGGAAATAAAAAAAATAAGGGGGCTGGGGAGATGGCTCAGTAGAATAAGCGCTTGCCTGGCAAGGGCAAGGGCCTGAGTTCAATCCCCCGTTCTGCCAAAAAAAAAAAAAAAAAAAAAAAAAAAAAAAAAAAAAAAAAAGAAAACAGTCATGGAAGAGGTCTTCTAGAACTGCTTCAGAAAGTGGC